AAGGTCACGGCGGCGGCTGTGCCGGGCGCTCCCCGGGATGCTCCAGGCGCCCGAGCAGGAGTAGGTCCTGTGGTCCTGAGGCAGGTGTGGGGACAGCCAGGCAGCCGGGCAGCGACCCTCTCCCTCCCAGCACCCCTTCGCCCCAGCCCCGCGCCGCTGCTGCTCCCTGGGGATCCGCGGCCCTCCTCCGTGACATCTGGCCCCAGGACTCCCCGCAGGGCCCTGGGTGCTGGGGCGGCCTTCCTGTGGCTGCTGGCCCGGGAGCGCCCAGCCCGGCCCCAGCGGCCGATTAACTCACTTTGTGTGGTCTCATCGGGCCATCGCCCCCCCACCCGAAGTTTGGCCAAGTTGGCCAGTTCACCACCATGGGCCTCCGAATCTGGGCCAGCACCGTGGGGGTAGGAGGTGGGGGAAGGCGGCACCAGCACTGGGTGTTGGTTGGGATGGCTGGGGCCGAGGAGCCCTAGGAAGCCCTGGCCCATCCAGCTTGCAGCACAGGAGGCAGCGGGAAAAGCGGCTTCCTTCCTGCCTCCTGGCCTTCCTGCAGAAGGCTTCGGCAGGATCAGGCTGAGGTCAGCTGACCCTGTGCTTCCCTCCCACCTCCTGCTTCCCTGTTCCCCCACACCACACTAAATGAGTCTGGAGGAGGAGGGCTGGGGGAGGACCTGCAGCCTTCCTGACCCTCTAAGCCCCAACAGCCCTCCCCACCTGCTCCTGCCCAGCCCAGCCCAGCCTACAGCGCCCTGTTTGTGTGGGGGCCAGGGGCCTTGAGGGGATACCCCTAGGGTTCGTCACAGGGAGGGCATGACTGGGGCAGAGTTCTCTGTAGGTCTGTAGGTGGGGTGTATCACCTGGGGGAGAGCATGGCTGGGACAGTCTCTGTAGGTGGGGTGTCACCTTAGGAATGGCATTTTGGATCCTTGGAAGAGTGACCATGTAAGCAGACTGGCATGGAGGCCCAGGTGGGGCTATATCTGAAGGGTTGGGGCACACTTGTCTGACTGCGGGTGGAGTGATGAGCCCCTACACCCTGTCCTTGGCCAGGGTACAGTTTCTGTCTGCCTCCTGCAGCAGCCGCAAAGCCCTCAGCCTGATGTCAGGAGCTGCAGTGCAAGCCCCACCAGGACACCTTTGGAGGCCTGGCTGCCCACAGGAAACCAGAGTCCAGGGCAGCAGAGTGAGGGGATTCCAGTGTCTCCATTTAGGGCCCACTCTCCCTGAAGTGGGCATCGAGGAGACTGATACTCCAAGGGCCTGGGGAGTATGAGAGCACCCTCAGCCAAAGAACTGTGGAGCTCAGAAGCAAGGGTCCTCACCTCTGGGGCATGGAAGCCAAGGACGCTGTGAGGCACAGTGAGAGCATGACCTGAGCCTTTCTTGTCCAGAGCTGTTACTGTTTCTGGGGGCCCAGTAGGGCCACATCTTTGAAGGCCTCAAGAGAAGCCTGAATCTGAGCTCTTATGTGACCCCTTCTTATTCCTGCTTATGGACAACTGTATTAAGCCTGTGGGGAAGCCAGACTAAGCCAGGCTGAGGCCAGACTGGACCCTGGCATCCAGTTTGCAGCAAGTGGGGAACTCAGGATAGGGTTGGCCCAGGCACTGGTACGTAGGGGAAGGGCAGAGGAACCTGGGTCTATAGGGAAGGGAGGAGGTGGGCAGGTAGCCAGAGAGGAAAGAGGCAGCAGGAGAAGGTGGCATCCTGAAAGCCCAGGGACAGGAAGGACATGCAGGCCTTGGCAAGATGGGCCCTGGATATGGGTTTCACATCCAGCCTTGACCACATTTGTGCACCAGCTCTGCTAGCACTCAAACTGTAGCCCTCAGCCAACTATCTGCTGAAAACCTGTTCCTAGGGAGGACAGCAGATCCTCTAGGGGGCCAGCTTCATCCACGTGGCACTCCCCAGCTTCCCAACATCTTGTACTTCAGCAGCAGTGGAAGCCCTTCTTGACCGCTGGGAGTATGGGTAAAGGTCCTGGAGAGGAAGTGAGCACCTGCCCCATTTCCACCCCTTACCCCACCTGCTGGTTAACAGACCTCCTTGGGCCAGGCTCCAGCCTGTGCCCTTCTGAGCCTCTTTCCCCTTCCCTGAGCATGGGGCACAAGGTCTGGTTCTTTAGCCAAGAGGGGACCAGAGAGAAGATTGTGGTCCATGGTCCTCAGGTGTCCTGATTACTCTGCCTTCCAGTGGGAAAACCTCCAATAGTATGGCCATAGCTGCAGTCCTTCCCTGGGACCAGCTGTAGTGGGGACCAGGCCCCCTACCCCACCTCCCTGGTGTAGGAATGTATGGATAGGAGAAGCTAGGTCCCCTCAGCCCTAGCTCCCAGGAACTTCTGCCCCGACCCCAGAAACCAGGGGCTCCCAAACCTTTGCCCTTCCCATCACTCTAGCTGCCTTCCCAGCCCACTCACCCCTTCAGTCCAGCCACCCAGCCTGTGAAGATTGTGGGGTGCCAGGAGGGCCTAGAAGAACTCTGGCCTAAGGCTCAGCACCTGGATAGGTAGTCACAGAGCTTTAAGTTCTGGCTTTGGCAGGCAAAGATAGATTGGATCCACAAGCGAGAAGCCAGGGATAAGGGTGAAGCTGGGGACCTTGCAGGCAACAGGCAGAGCAAGGGCAGGGTGCTGAGGGACAGGGCCTACAGCGTTCAGGGAAATGATAAAAGGTTCTGTGGCAGGAGATGGGCAGGAGCCAGGCCCATCTCCTTTTTGTAAATGGAGGAACCTCAGGACCTGGGCCCCTGGGAAGGGCAGCCACAGTATGGAGCAGGCTATGCCCAGGCCTTGGTAGTCAGGGTGATTCAGGGCAACAGTGCCCACCGCTGCC